ACTGCAAGACCTCCTGGCGCTCCCACTTCCTCATCTTCCAGCTCAGTCTCTACTTCTACCGCCAAGCCAACGCAGCTACCCACAGGTGATGGGGAGGACACAACAGGCAGCACTGACATACCTTCGGGAAACGCCGGACGCCCCAATCGGAGGTATGCTTGATTCTTGAAAGTCGCTGTGCGACCCGCCGCTGTGTCTTGCTCAGGTCGCGGGACGACCTTTGAGAAATGGCATATCACATTCCTTTTTTCCCTTTGCTTGCGTTCCCTCCTGAGTCGACACGCATGGGCGACTTAGGCAAATTGAGCGTTCCCCCGATACCTGATACTCTAGTGTGAAGTTGTGCTTCACCATCCGATGGACATGAAGACAACGAAGGCGAAGTACTTTGCTAAAAATTCGTCACGTTACGGCTAGTTCGACTCGCCCATACCAATACTCGTCCTTGTTCTTCAAATCTCGGATCACACGGTTGAAGCTAGACGCCTGCGGTTGCTCTTTTACCACGATAAATAGAGAATGGACAGGATCCCGCAGGAGATGACCGATGATCAGGCGAGGCCAAAGCAAAAGACGGGCATCGGCGACGACCAGAAGGGCATTGCGCGATCTGACAGATACGAAATCGCCATCAGTACCGTAGACATGTACGTACGCTATTTCGAGTCCTACATTCGGCGCGTTGCTGTGCAAGGGCGAGCACAAATACTTTCAAACAGCCCTGAGAGTATCCCTGAGAGTCTCTTGAGCCATCGCTTTCGTTTTTGCTGATTGGATTAACAGGCGCACGCGAATTGTATGAGAGATCTGTGGTGTACATTGAGTCTCTCAATGTTGCGGGGAGTCAGAGACGCAGCCTTGGGTAGCGATTTCGCCATATCGAAAAGGATGAGGCCCACGGTGCTGTGGTCGCACAGCAGAAAGCGAAAGTCGAAGGCGCTGACCATATGCCTTCTTAATGCAACCTCGTCATTCGTGACAGAGACGTGGTGACTACCCTTTAGCGGCAGTGTCAGGATGCCCAGCGCCCCCAAGCTTCTCGCGCTCGTTGAATTTTTGGACTATTGCACTTGCCATCCTGTGCAAGTTCTTTGACAAGACCCAGAAGTCGGGTTGGTCGGCTACATTGTGAACGTCTGACTCTCTAAGTGCACGTGGTGGATCGCTGTCATGAGCGAGCGCCAAGAAAGCATCTCGTAGGCTGCTCAAAGGTATTGTGTGCGCAAGGTGGGCGTCTACATCATGTCTTGACTTCGCGGTGTTCTCTTGCGCAATTCCAGATTTGGTGATGAATGTGTCGACAGAATCAAGAGTGGCGTAAACCGGGAGCAAACGAGCGCTCAACAGAGCTACGCATGTTCGATCATCGAGTAGAGTAAGCCGCCGAAGCTGCGTGGCAGATTCGATGAGATCGAGCAGTCGACCCGACAACGAATTTGCAGGCGCATCATCTATGGAGCGCTCGAAACCACTCCATGTTGTGCGCTCGAGCATCTTTCGGCCCAGCGAGTCGGTAGCTGTCGCGATGCTGCCCAGCGACATCGAGCTCCAGCCATCCCGCTTATCGGATAAATCGTCCTCATGCTTTTCATCGTCGTCGTCATTCAGAAAGCACGCCCTATCGCCCTTCACCTCTCCTTCGCTGTGGCAACTTTGAGTTGTGGATTCTTTCTCATCGCGTTGCTTGGGGTCGCTGCCCCAGAAATAGATCATTTCATGGCCATGCCAGTCTAGACTCATGCTGAGCTCTTCCACGTTGGCGACCATCTTCGTGTAGTGAGCTGGGAGAGACCGAAGAGAGCCGAACATCAGCCTATTTTTCGCACATCTCGGCGCGCGGGAGCTCAGCTTGCCTGGAATGCAGAAGTATGGGTATGCGTCTTGTATTTCTAGATGCTTGACACAATGTAAGTCCGTAATGGCACTCGCTAGGGGCTTCGGCACTGGAGACGCTCTGTCAGCTAGTTGGAGATGTTTTGGTCTGACCAGATCAATCAGAACACCCGCCTCCTTCCAGAAGTCGTTGAAGCTGCTGATTCCGGGGACGGCGCCACGTCCGTACGGTCCATCAAGTCTCCGGAAGACGTGTGTGTCACTGCAGACCAGGTCTTGGACAGTGAAAGCGTCGTCATCGTAAAAATCTTGCGACTCTGGAAAAGGCCAATTGGGCTCGTCGATTCGTTGGCACATCTCGCACTCGCATGGCAAATCTCCTTCTTCCCGCTCCTGTGCCACATTCGCCTTCCATACTTCTTTGTCCTCCTCAGGTTCTGCATCTTCGTCTATACAGCGATCAAACGGCACGCGCATGATACGCCTTAAATCCATGAACACTCTCTCGCCCAGAGAGGGCACGAGCCGGACGTCGGGATCTACCATCGTCGAGCCAAGGTGGCCCCAAATGTGACCTGAAAAGTTGCACAATGGATAGCTTCCGCCAATTTTCAGCGACATGACTTCTTGTTGAAGCCAGGGAAACCTTCTGTAAGTCTCGATATGACCCAGAACTCTATTTACAGGCGCCTCGAGATGGCGCCACTTGGCCGCCATCACGATGCGAAACCAGTATTGGGACTGCGGCGGAGGGCTGAGCATGGTAAGCAGAGGATCGCAATCTGCGCGCTCCCGTCATTGCGAAAGCCAGAGATCCTCACAATAGCGAGCAGCACGTGTTCCTCGCCGCGATACCCATAGCGTGTGTGTGGCGAATGAAATTCGCGTATGCAGTGCATGACCTCCGCGGGTAAGCGAGTGAAGGGGTCCGGCAAGATAGGCACGGTCATGGCTGCGAATGGACGTTGGGGCGGCTTGATGGACGCTGATGGCAAATGGTTGGGAATTGAGGGCTTAAAGGTACCCCTCGAGAATGGAGTCCAAGGCGAGACAGGAGGGAGTCGAAGAAGAAGTTGAAGGTCTGGTCACGAAGGGCAGAACGAATCGAGACTTCTGCCGTGGACACCGACGCGTGATGTATATCCACGCCAATGCTCTGGTGAGATGAGAGCTTACTTGCGTCAGAAGCCGCAGTCTTGAGGGAAGAAGAAGCCAGCAAGAGATGGAGCGGCTGTTTCTCGTAGTCACAGGACATGCCGCCAAAGCATCGCTTGGGAAGGTCCGTCTGAGCACCGCTTGATCGGCCTGCACTGTTCCATCTTACATGGAAGTCATGCCTCTGCTGTATAGGTATGTGAGCCTACGTACTTTTGAGAAGCGGCTTTGGGCCTGTGCTCATGCGAACGACACGAAGGATCGAGCCGGGACGCCCATCGCGGAAATATGCAGCTGGGCGTGCGGACCATGTGGTGTTCGCGCGACAATAACAACCTTGAATCAGAATATGAATCACGAATGTCAATCAGAATCGTGCATCAAGACAAGCAGCAGACGTGAAACCCTTGCAAAATTGCGCTAGTGTCGGCTTTATGCACGCTGTGCCTACATGTGGGCGTCGATGATCATCTGATCACGGCCTCGCGCACCAATCAAATCAAATTACTGCTGAATCACGGATGTTAACAAATGATATCGACCTTCAAACATGCGCTAATCGAGCATCCCCCTTCGAATCTTTCGGGGAATCGTGACCTATCACAGTCACTCAGTCCATGCAGGAGTCACGAGTCGAGGCTCTGAACTCCCTTTTGCCGACGAGTAGTCCGGCGTAAGCAAGTAACCTTGACTTCGATTGAGACCGACGACTCTGATGACAACTGAGCAAGTATACACACAGCTTCGCCCTCACAAATAGTCATCAAAACTCACGACTGCTGGCTTTCAATCACGATTCTGTTGTCATGTGATGACCAGCAGGTCGTTGAAACACACCGGACATCCAACTTTATGACTACCGTTCAACATCAGCAGCGTGCTGGACGTTCCCAAGCATCTGTGAGGTAATTGCATCCGTCATTGTGGCTGACCGCTGCATGCACGCGATGTGGGCGCTAAGGGTGTGTGTACAATACAGTGTACAATGTAATCACCAGTACTGGACCTGTGCATCTGGGCCAGCGTAGGCTCGCGAGGTCTATCATAATCGTGACTGTAGATTCCCTCCAGTGGGGGCTAGGACAGATGCTTTCCTGCGGCGAAGCTTGGCTGAATGAAGCGTCGCCCGTGATCATCAACGAGACTGGCTCTTCTATCATGGCATGGCGCGGAAAAGGCAGTCATATCGACCGCGTGCTATTCACATTCACTACGGCCGCGTGGTCCCTTCCGCCTGCATGATTCGCCAGCGGTAGCTTCGCATCTGCAAATGCACACTATATGTCACCACGATCGAGCCTCAACAAAAGACGAGTGTTCGACACTGTACACAAACATGACCTCGTGGAGCGCTACGCCGACTACTTCATGCGAGGTCAGCGTGGCTTGTTGGGTGCCCAACCACATAGCGGCAACAATTGAACGCCAAGATAGACCACGCGGTTGAAGGGCCTCCAGGTCGAGGCCAACACTATGTATCTCAGGGCGCTCGCACGGCTTCTCGCCCTGGCAAACATCATGACCGGAAGATAGTGAAGGAGTCAGTCCGCCTCTTATGCCATGATTGACTGACGCTACTTGGTAGTGATCGAGGGAGCTGTGGCGAAGTGCCACTACCAAAACCCTTTGAGGGGGTTACCTATCTCGAGAGCAGCGTTGCTGGAGGGTTGCACAACAGAAGTGGTAGCCTCTGCTCGATCATATGGCTATAAGAGGGACAGTCACGGCCCGCGTGCGCTCGAATCCATGTCTCCAGAAGGCGACGTTCTCCATCCCTCAGGCAGGTCCTGCTCAAGTATTTTTTTTTTCTTCGTCGCTCCCCCTACCTTTCCCCTCCTTTCCCCTCCTTTCCCCTCCCTCCCCCTCTTTTCCTTGAGCTGGTCTCAAGATGCGTCTTTCTCTTGCATGCATGGCAAACTTCATGCTCACGACTACCACACTCTGCGCGGCAACGCTTGCCCCTGTCGACTCCATACCTTCTCCACGGGCCGTTGCCCCGGTGATCACTTTCAGGGCGCCCCCAACAACAGCCGTCAAGAGCTCTTGGCGCTCCGGCAGATTCTGTGAGGCTCAGAGGCTCGATGAGAGCATCAAGACGTCCGATTATTCAAAGGTATGCCTGAATAAGCCTGGCTATGCATACAAGGTCCCGAAAAAAGAAGATCCGAATGGCCTACTCGAACTCAGCTCGGGCAAATGGAACAATCATTACAAGGAGCCGCTGATTGAGGGAGAATGCGAGCATTTCCTTGAGCAGCGCATGTTGACTAATCTGTTGATGGCAGACCTTGTAGAAGATCTTGTCAAGAACAAAAATTCAGCATTCCCAGACATCGCAAAAGCAGAAACTCAAATCTGTGTCGCGATCAAGGCGAACGAAAATGATTGGAAGAGTGGTGTTGTGGCCTCGATGAACGGTGACACCAACTTGATTGGCGTTCCTACCAACGTGAACAGGCTGAAGACCGCTCTCGTCGCACGGGCGACTGGGTCAACACCGCCGACCGCGTTCCAATGGAAACCCTCCGCGCGTGAGAAATCAGCGACGACGGTGCGAAATGACAACAAAGCAGCACTTCCGCTGCAGAGGTGAGGCCGAGTGTTTGCGGTCGGAGAGATGATAGAGGATGGACTCATGCTATATCACTCTCTGTTCCACAGCTACATACAAAAGGGGCGGGCGGACGCAAACAGGCGAGCGGAAGATATGCAGACGAAAATTGTGGAGCTTCTTGGCAAAGCAGGCATAGTAAATGAGGCTTATCCTGATGACCGATGGTCCAAGCTGGGAGATGGAGTCTGGACTTACATCTTTGACAGCGTGACTGCTCTGCAACCCGAGCTGCAGCCAGTGCTGGAGCAATATTGCGGCATGAATCCCAATGGCTACCCGAAAGACACGACAACCTCGAAGGTTACAATTCCGCAAAGGGACAAGGACGGCTGCTGTGACAACAACACCCTCAGCGCACCAAAATGGCTTCGTTCCAGACACGACTACCAGCCTCAGCCGCCGAAGACAGGTTCCAAATGTCCCCGCAAGAGTTGCGACCCGGCATTGCAATGCTGCCTTAGGCCCGATGGAACGCACAAAGATCGTCCGCCGAAAAGCCTTCAAAGTCGGCGAGAGCTTTTGAGCCGCCCCATTTTTTCCGGCGCGATGCAGGATCGGGCCGAGCCCAACGACTGCAGGAAGAATTGGGGCGACGAAGAGGACAGAACGACAGTCAATGAGGCAGAGGCCGCAAACGCAGTAGTGGACAAGTTACACTCCAGCGATCCAGCGACGGTGGCAAAACTCCAAGACCCCGCAAAAGGTGGAGATCCATACGCGATCAGCGAGCTTAAGAAGGCTTTGACGGCAGGTTCGGTACCAGCAGCATCAGCACTTGCGGCCGCCGCATTGGCCGCGCCAGCAGCAGCGGCAGCACTTTCCGCAGCGGCAGCCGCTGCACCGGCAGCAGCAGCAGCTGTGGCTGCAGTCGCAGTCGCACCTGAGGCAGCAGCAGCGACAGCTGCAGTAACGGCACTCTCTGCAGCAGCAGCTACGAGCGTGCCTGCCTATCAAGCGCTTTCAAAAGCAGCGGCGACAAGTGAGGCTGCAAAAGCAGCGCTTTCGAAATTACCCTCGCCCCCAGCGCACAGCAGCGGTAGCAATAGCGGAGACGATGGATCAGGCATCTTTCCGGTTCCCCCAGGCAAAACCTCTTCATCCGCTTCTCCGCCGGCTTCTACATCGGCACCTGCTGGTGCCCTCACACCGATAGCTTCCATTTCGTCAGCGACTCCGACCCCACAGCCTACCCAACCACGTTCCAGCTCTGAGCAACAAACGACCTCCACGAGAGGAAGACCGCCGCGCCAGTGCGTCTTCCTGGGCACTTGCTGGTAGCTTGCAACCTACACGATGCTGCGATACTCAGTCACGGACTCACCAACCAATCATAATGTAGCTTACCACATCCGTATGGGTGCCGCTACGCCCATGTACGGTCGCCGGTCGACCAGCTTATGCAAATGCAATTTACACTCCTTTGTCCTTCCGAGCGAATGGACGGTTACGCGAGTGCTTGAATGTTCTATGCCCTGGTAACTTGAGACCTTCATCACAGCCTGATGCAGAGAATTCGTGGAGGCCTTGCGTGCGATCCTTGGGCGTTGTGGTCGCGAGGGTGTGTGGAGTCGTAATAAGCAGACTTGCTCGACCCACCTACCTCGGGTGTTTCTGCGCGCGCGACTCGCGTATCTACACTCGTGACCCCACACGCGATGCTCCGCACGCGCGGAGAAACCACACCTCGACGTGTTTCGGAATGTTCTAGGATTCAACAAAACAGCGCACGCACGCATTAAGTGACACAAATGACGTGATCTAAGATCGGATAATTTCCCCAGAGGGCCACCCACGTCGTTTGACCGTGTGCAGGGTTCATATGTTGCATCGATTGGCGCCAGCAGGAGTCAAGAGTTGTCAATCGAGCCAGCATATCCTCTACCTGCCGAGCTCAGACTACCGGAGCATGCAGCAGCACGTCTTGCTTGGTACTCAAGGGTTCCGAGACAGTAACGGGCCAAACACCTCTAAAACGGTATATCGGTCGTGGGTGCGTGGGCAGTGTAAATCATCATATGGCCCGCGGCACTTAGGTGCGAGAGGTTGGCCACCTGCTTCTCGAATGAGCGGAATTGCGTTCTTTCCAACTTCCAGCACGCACTCTTTCGAAGGAATGGGGTCTCACAGGCGAGCACCTCAACACTACTTGGGCTACTACACACCGCCTCCGTGCCGTGTCAATTAGCCACGACTCACACTGTTCCATTTTCGTGGGCGAGGCGTGTTGCTCTGCCAACCGCCCTTCGAGACATTTTTGACGTATCGGTTCCGGCAACTTGGCATCCAAGTGTGCCCTTGCGGCACGACATTCCGCAAATCTTGCTCTGCTCGTTGCAAAGGCAACTCGTTGAGCATCTTGGCAGATCGAGATATCCTGGGAATGAGATCAGTGCTGGGCCGCCAAGTCCGCAGCTTGCGCCATCGCATTTCCCCGTCCATCAATAGCGGCGCCAGGAACACTCGCAACGATCCTTTTTTGAGTTTTGCATTTCCCACATTGACGTTTTTCAGGTCACGTTTGTCATCATTTGCTACCCACACATCAATTCGCCCAGAAGTCTCTTCGCGAATTGCCTTTTCGCACCGTGGATCGAGTGAGCACCGACTCATCGGTGCTCCATCGCTCGTCGATCCTCGCGTGATCGGGCGGTCGTATTGCGCCTTCGCACCTCGACATTCAAGTCCGACTTCTCATCGAGCTCAGAGCCATAGCTTGAGACTCCGCACAAATCAACAAAGCATCAAGTTTGGTTCCTTGAACTTTTCCAGAATGACTTCGACCACGTCTTCTTCCCCACAAGCGGTGTCCGCGGCCGCACCAGCACCACAGTCGACAGCATCGTCAGCGGCGTCTACGAGCGCCTCGATGCTTCCTTCCATACCCGACATTCTCTACGGCACGGCTTGGAAGGATACGCGAACAACTACACTCGTCTTTACTGCCATCACTGCCGGATTTCGAGGCATCGACACCGCTGGTCAGAGGAAACATTACCGAGAAGAACTGGTTGGTCAAGCTCTTCATCAGCTAGAAGAGGCCGGCGTGGCTCGAAGAGAAGAGGTCTGGTTGCAGACAAAGTGAGCTTGATCTCCTAGGCTCCGTAACCACCCCTCTTTACATACCTGTCTGAATGGATTGATCTGACGTCGGCGCCACTCTTCTCAGATTCACCTCCAAAGACGGGCAGGATCTTTCGGGTCCTGTCCCATATGATCCGCGCTGGCCAGTCCGGAAACAGATCCGCCATAGCGCATTTGCTTCGCTGCGCAATCTTCACGTCAGCGACAGGTGGGACAAAGCCGAGCTACTAGAAGCAGCAAAGCAAGCAGCAGGCCTCGCTCAAACGAGTGGGGCTTCCGCTGCGAACAAAGGCAAAGGTCGAAGTGTAGATTATACACAAAGCGCTCTCGGAAGATCAAGCGCTAACGATGAAGGAGAGCAGCATCCTTCTGGTCTGCCGGACTTTGCCAAGTTCAGGCCCATAGGTGCTATCTCACCGGACGGCAAGACCAGACCTTGGCTCGATAGTTATCTCCTACACTCACCCTTGCGAAGCCTCGAAGAGACGCTGCAAGCGTGGCAAGAAATGGAGCTGCTTGTACAGGAGGGCTGGGTGAGACATATCGGTTTCAGTAGTGAGTTGTCAAGAGTCGATCCCGCGCACGCGTCAGCTTCTCGCTGAATTTTTCGCACAACGACGCAACTTGCGGCTCAAAGATGTGTACGATTCGAGGATATGGAATGCCTTATTGCAATCGATCAACATCCGACCCCTTGCATTGCAGAATCGCTGGCACAGCAGCTCAGGACACGACGTTTCCTTGCTCTCCACGCTTTCCCCCATCCTATCGCCCAACGACTCTGAAGGACACGCGATCCACTATCAGCCTTTCTGGACTCTGACTGGCAACCCCGCACTCTTGCGAAGCGAACCTGTGGTTCGCGCAGCCATCGCTCACGACTGGACACCTGCTCAGGTCGTCTACAAATTCGTCAACCAAGGTATGGGCATACAAGGCTTGCGGTGCTGCGTTTTGACAGGGACTACAGACGAGAAACATATGCGGCAAGCTGTACAGGTGGTCAACAACAGGCACGGCGAGAGTCATCTACTCACAGTCGGTGAGGTCAACGAAATCAGAAAGCAGGTGTACGGGGAATAGATAGGCACAATACATCAACTCGATATCGCAATTTGACTTGCATTGCTCATCTTCTCATTTCTGCGAGATGCCTAGGTAATTTTGAGTAAGATCTTGCCCGTGTTTTTGTTTGCCTCCATCTCCTCGTGCGCTTCCTTTGCTTGCGCCCAATCGAACACTTTGTGAATGGCGATGCGGTGATGCTCGTCTGATGCACTTTTTCCCGGCTTATTGCACCCTTTTACAATCTTCTCGAGCACTCCGGACTTAAGCAGGTCTTGCATCAAGCTGCTCTGATACTCCAAACTGCGGCTTCGCAGGGTGGAGCCTTCGATATGAAGCCTCTTCACCAGCACTTGCGTCAAATCCACTTCACACACTGGTGAGCCGCCCATCAGACCTTGAAGAACAAGCCGGCCATCGAGCGCTAGTGATCTAATGTTGGGCCCAAAGTATGGCCCGCCCAGGAAGTCCATGATCACGTTGACGCCGCGGGAAGACGTAAGCTTCTTCAGCTGGCGAAAGGTGGGATCAGCGAACTGTCAGGAGTGTAGCAGAGACACTTGCAATGTGCGCAAAGAGCCTTTTCCATCCGTCTCACCTCTTCTTCCCAAACACTTGTCTTGTAGTTGATACCCTCCGTGGCTCCGAGACCCTTGCAGGAGTCGATCTTCTCCTGACTTCCAGCAGTGACGTAAATGTGCCGAGCTCCAAAGGATTTGGCGAGCTGGATTGCTGCGAGGCCCACAGAGGAAGCTCCAGCACTGCACGATATGTAGCTCGTCAACGCCATTCATCGGCGTTCCCTTGCACAGTGTTCGCAAATCCACTCACTGGATCAGGATATCTTCACCTGGCTGGAGATTGGCTATCCACCGCT